GGTGGTAACTACAGCAGAATAATGGCAACTACAGCAGGGTGGTGGTAAAATTAAGCAGCAGAATAATGACAACTATAGCAGGTTGGTGGTAACTACAGCAGAATAATGGCAACAGCAGGGTGGTGGGTAACTACAGCAGAATAAGCAGAATAATGGTGGCAACTAGCAGCAGGGTGGTGGTAACTACAGCAGAATAATGACAACTACAGCAGGGTGGTGGTAACTGGCCACAGTGTAAAGTGGTGGCAATGGCAACTACAGCAGGGTGGTGGTAACTACAGCAGAATAATGACAACTATAGCAGGTTGGTGGTAATTCACAGCAGAATAATGGCAACCACAGCAGGGTGGTGGTAACTCACAGCAGAATAAATGACAACCAGCAGGGTGGTGGTAACTACAGCAGAATAATGACAACTACAGCAGGGTGGTGGTAACTACAGCAGAATAATGACAACTATAGCAGGTTGGTGGTAACTACAGCAGAATAATGGCAACTACAGCAGGGTGGTGGTAACTACAGCAGAATAATGACAACTACATCAGGGTGAAGGCAACTACAGCAGAATAATGACAACTACAGCAGGGTGGTGGTAACTACAGCAGAATAATGGTATCTACAGCAGGGTGGTGGTAACTACAGCAGAATAATGACAACTACATCAGGTTGAAGGCAACTACAGCAATGTGACAGCAACTACAGCAGCGTGACAACAACTACAGCAGGGTGACGACAACTACAGAAGGGTGATGACAACTACTGCAGGGTGGTGGTAACTACAGCAGAATAATGACAACTAAAGCAGGTTGGTGGTAACTACAGCAGAATAATGACAACTACAGAAGGGTGATGGTAATTTCAGCAGAATGATGACAACTACAGCAGGGTGACAACAACTACAGCAGGGTGACTGCAACTACAGCAGGGTGACGACAACTACAGCAAGGTGACGGCAACTACAGCAAGGTGACGGCAACTACAGCAGGGTGACGGCAAATACAGCAGGGTGACGACAACTACAGCAGGGTGACGACAACTACAGCAGGGTGACGACAACTACAGCAGGGTGACGGCAACTACAGTAGTGTGACGGCAACTACAGCAGAATGACTGCAACTACAGCAGGGTGACGGCAACTACAGCAGGAGTGAAACAACCAGCAGGGTGACGGCAACTACAGCAGTGGGTGACGGCAACAACAGCAGGGTGATGGTAACTACAGCAGGGTGACGGCAACTACAGCAGGGTGACGACAATCACAGCAGGGTGACGACAACTACAGCAGGGGAGACGGGTAACTACAGCAGGTGACATGAACAGCAAGGTGACGTAAAATTACAGCAGGGTGACGGCAACTACAGCAGGGTGACGACAACTACAGCAGGGTGACGACAACTGCCAGCAGGGGAGACGGCCACTACAGAGTGAAAATGAACTACAGCAGGGTGACGACAACTACAGTAGGGTGACGGCAACTACAGCAGAATGACGGCAACTTACAGCAGAATGACGGCACCAGCAGGGTGACGGCAACCACAGCAGGGTGACGGCAACTACAGCAGGGTGATGGCAACTACAGCAGTGAACGCAACTACACCAGGGTGACGGCAACTACAGCAGGGTGATGGTAACTACAGCAGGGTGATGACAACTAAGCAGCAGGGTGACGACAACTACAGCAGGGGTGACGACAACTACAGCAGGGGCAGTGGGATGGCAACTGCAGCAGAATGATGACAATTACAGCAGGTGATGGCAACTAAGCAGCAGGGTGATGGCAACTACAGCAGGGTGGTGGTAACTACAGCACAATGATGACAATTACAGCAGGGTGATGGCAACTACAGCAGGTGATGGCAACTACAGCAGGGTGACGGCAATCATACAGCAGGGTGGTGGGCAACTGCAGCAGAATGATGACAATTTCAGCAGGGTGACGACAATCACAGTAGGAAGATGGCAAATTGCAGCAGAATGATGACAATTATGGCAGGGTGATGGCAACTACAGCAGGGTGATGGCAACTACAGCAGGTGACGGCAACTACAGCAGAATGATGACAATTACAGCAGGGTGACGACAACTACAGCAGGGTGATGGCAACTGCAGCAGAATGATGACAATTACAGCAGGGTGATGGCAACTACAGCAGGGTGATGGCAACTACAGCAGGGTGGTGGTAACTACAGCACAATGATGACAACTACAGCAGGGTGATGGTAACTACATCAGAATAATGACAACTACAGCAGGGTGATGGTAACTACAGCAGAATAATGACAACTACAGCAGGGTGATGGTAACTACAGCAGAATAATAACAACTAAAGTAGGGTGGTGGTAACTACAGCAGAATAATGACAACTGCAGCAGGGTGGTGGTAACTACAACAGAATAATGACAACTACAGCAGGGTGGTGGTAACTACAACAGAATAATGACAACTACAGCAGGGTGGTGGTAACTACAGCAGAATAATGACAACTACAGCAGGGTGGTGGTAACTACAACAGAATAATGACAACTACAGCAGGGTGGTGGTAAATTCACAATAAACACAAATCACAGGGTGGTGGTAACTACAGCAGAATAATGACAACTACAGCAGGGTGATGGTAACTACAGTAACAAATGACAACTACAGTAGGGGTGATGTAACTACAGCAGAATAATAAATAAATTCAAAGTAGGGTGGTGGTAAATTCACAGCAGAATAATGACAACTGCAGCAGGGTGGTGGTAAATTACAACAATAATGACAACTACAGCAGGGTGGTGGTACTACAACAGAATAATGACAACTACAGCAGTGGCAGGGTAACTACAGCAGAATAATGACAACTACAGTAGGGTGGTGGTAACTACAGCAGAATAATGACAACTAAGCAGCAGGGTGATGGTAACTAAGGTATAACAATAAACAACTAAAGTAGGGTGGTGGTAACTACAGAATAACGACAACTACAGCAGGGTGGTGGTAAATTCAGCAGAATAATGACAACTACAGCAGGGTGGTGGTAACTACAACAGAATAATGACAACTACAGCAGGGTGGTGGTAACTACAACAGAATAATGACAACTACAGCAGGGTGGTGGTAACTACAACAGAATAATGACAACTACAGCAGGGTGGTGGTAACTACAACAGAATAATGACAACTACAGCAGGGTTTCGGCAACTGCAGCAGGTTGGTGGATGTTACGTGTGTCCGCCATAAGTTTCTGTTCTGGGTATGAAATATGTTGGTTCGGATGGTGTGTGGTTGGCTTGAGCAGTTTCACTCATTACTCGCCCACACTGACTGAGTCATCATTTAAGTAATAAATTTGTTTATTACATTGTGTATTTATTGTATTATGTTTGTATATAGGTTAGATAAGTGGAATTAACGTCAGTAAGGTAATTTATATAACGTTTATGTTTTGGCCAATTAGGATAATTATGTTACGTCAGTGTTTGGCGGTAGAGAGGTAACGTCGGTGACCTACTGGTACACTCTAGTCAGTCCAGGCACAGCTGTCTTAAGTTAAGTAGTATACCTCTCTCTGGTGTTTTGGGAGATGGCATATGACTATTGAGATTTTATTTTGCTTGATATTGATTTTGTGTGATCTTGATGGATCTTCAGTCCTTACTCTGCCAGTTCCAAACATCTTATCTTATTATTATTGTTATTTATTTTATTTTATGTACATATTTGGTGGTGGGAGTAAGTTAATAAATGTTCATATATTATTGACTTGTTGACCTGTTAAATTGACCTTTGTTGGGAGAACTTGGGATTGATAATATAATAAATAATACTGATATATTTGAAAGACTTAAGTGATTTGTGTTTATGTAACGATCTACCCTAGGGTCGTAACAATGGTAACTACAGCAGAATGACGGCAACTACAGCAGGGTGATGGTAACTACAGCAAGGTGACGGCAACGACAACAGGGTGATGGTAACTACAGCAGAATGACGGCAACGACAACAGGGTGATGTTAAATACAGCAAGGTGACGGCAACGACAACAGGGTGATGGTAACTACAGCAGAATGACGGCAACTACAGCAGGGTGATGTTAAATACAGCAAGGTGACGGCAACGACAACAGGGTGATGGTAACTACAGCAGAATGACGGCAACGACAACAGGGTGATGGTAACTACAGCAGAATGACGGCAACTTCAGCAGGGTGATGGTAACTACAGCAGAATGACGGCAACTTCAGCAGGGTGATGTTAAATGCAGCAAGGTGACGGCAACGACAACAGGGTGATGGTAACTACAGCAGAATGACGGCAACTTCAGCAGGGTGATGGTAACTACAGCAGAATGATGGCAACGACAACAGGGTGATGGTAACTACAGCAGAATGATGGCAACGACAACAGGGTGATGGTAACTACAGCAAGGTGACGGCAACGACAACAGGGTGATGGGTAACTGCCAAGCAGAATGATGGCAATTATAGCAGGGTGATGGTAACTACAGCAGAATGATGGCAACGACAACAGGGTGATGGTAACTACAGCAGAATGACGGCAACTTCAGCAGGGTGATGGTAACTACAGCAAGGTGACGGCAACGACAACAGGGTGATGGTAACTACAGCAGGGTGATGGTAACTACAGCAGAATGATGGCAACTTACAGCAGGGTGACGGCAACTACAACAGGGTGACGGCAACTACAACAGGGTGATGGTAACTGTGCCAAGGTTGTCACACATAGAACTAGCCGACGACTTTATAATTATGTATTTGAAGCCACTAAACGTTAGGGAAGGTCAGCACCATTAGTGACCATTATCACCAGCTGTCAGCACCACCAGCTGTCAGCGCCACCAGTGACCATTATCACTAGCTGTCAGCACCACCAGCTGTCAGCACCACCAGCTGTCAGCACCACCAGCTGTCAGCGCCACCAGTGACCATTATCACCAGCTGTCAGCACCACCAGCCGTCAGCACCACCAGCTGTCAGCGCCACCAGTGACCATTATCACCAGCCGTCAGCACCACCAGCCGTCAGCGCCACCAGCCGTCAGCGCCACCTAGTGACCGATATCACCAGCTGTCAGCACCAATTACGTCAGCGCGCCACCAGCCGTCAGCACCACCAGACCATTATCACCAGCTGTCAGCACCACCAGCTGTCAGGAAACCACCAGCTGTCAGCACCACCAGCCGTCAGCACCCCAGCTGTCAGCGCCACCAGCTGTCAGCAGCACCAGCCATCATCACCACCAGTTATCATCACTACCAGCTGTCAGCACCACCAGCTGTCAGCGCCACCAGTGACCATTATCACCAGCTGTCAGCACCACCAGCCGTCAAAGCGCCACCAGTGACCATTATCACCAGCCGTCAGCACCACCAGCCGTCAGCGCCACCAGTGACCAGCTATCACCAGCTGTCAGCACCACCTCTCAGCCGTCAGCGCCACTCAGCCGTCAGCACCACCAGTGACCATTATCACCAGCTGTCAGCACCACCAGCTGTCAGAAAGTCCACCAGCTGTCAGCGCACCACCAGCTGTCAGCACCACCAGCTGTCAGAAACCACCAGCTGTCAGCAGCACCAGCTATCATCACCACCAGTTATCATCACCACCAGTTGTCAGGACCACCAGCTTTCAGCACCATCAGCTGTCAGCATTACCAGCTATCAGTTCCTCCAGCTGTCAGTTCCACCAGCTGTCATCACCATCAGCTATCAACACCATCAGCTGTCAGGACCA